CGCTCTCAGGATAGAGGAGAATGGAGTTGTGGAGCCGTTCCTTGCTCTGTTTCAGTTTTGCCTCGAAAACTTTAACGGCTAGGGAAAAAGCTTCCTTCTTTTGTCTTGTATATACAAACCAGCAATGTCCCTTCTCTACCCCAGCAGTAATAAATTTCATATTATTCTTTTACCGAAGGATCTCAGAGAACAAGGCAAAGGGCCGTAAATATTTTTGTCTTCATTGTGGATGAGGGAGCAGAGTATCTTGCAAGAAATCATCATTAAAACTAGAAATGGGACCCTTGATGCACAGTCTCCCGTTCCAGCAGCGACTTAGCACCGTTTTCCTCGCACTTTAGTTAATCTGTTTTGAAGTTACTACAGTGAGAAGAATGTCTTCACGCTGCGAACGTTACAGTCTTTGTGTGTCCTCATTGCTTGGATGCTCCCGGTCCCATCCCGTCCCAGAGCGCTGCTGAGCCAGGGCTTGTGGCTTTTGGGAAGGGAGGGAGGAACGGATCGAAGCAGAAAAATGCTAGCCAAGGGGTTTGGGAGGCAAAATAGCAAAATTCCAAAGTGCTGCCTGCATTCTGGTTATACATTTTGATGCATTCTGGAGGTTGGGAGATGGGTATCATTTTAATGACAGATTCCTCGAACGCTGTTGGGGCATAACCCGTGCTTTCACATTGGGATGAAGTCTTCAGCCTCTAGGTGTGATGGTGAGATCAGGGTGGGGAATTTCGCTGGCCTTCACTGGCAGCAGAGAGCAAAATTGGGGTTGATTTCTACAGATCTTCATCTCTTTTAATCGAATTTAGAAATGCGACTATGAACACCTCGAGATAGCCCGTCACATCGGTGTGACGTTAAAGGCATCTCAGTTCTGTAATTTGCAAGATAAAAAATGCTGCAGGAAAAAAATAAAACCGTACTGGCAAAGTACAATATTATCCATATATGTTGAGAAGAACTTTCACGGGCGCGATAGGATGGGAGCCTTCTGTCGGTTGAGCGCCGCGTACCAACGCGGTGGTGTGGCACAAAGGAGCTTAGGACAGTGAGGTGCCGTACAACAGGTTGCAACGCATTTTTCTGAAACCATTTCCTTTTTCCAGTAGGTAACGCAGCTAAAATCCTACAGTAGCGCTTTTCTCCTCGCGTGCTGAAGAGCTGTGTCTGTCTGGCCGAATCCAAGTGAGCTCCTTGCAGCTTCATTTGCCTTGAAGGACAGAAATAAATTGCCTTGTCTTGAGTTCCACTTGCTTAAGACCAATTTGGTAAGAAGAGTTAAATACATCTGGAAGTCTTATGGATGTGTATTGACCCAAATCCGAGGGTTTGTTGAGAAGAACGGTCAGTGATGGACTATAAAGTATGTTGGTATAATGTGGCAGAACCTATGCCTTTGACATAAGAATGATAAAGAAATGAAATCGGGACCTTTCCCTGCTGCAGAATACATTGTATGTCCTTACTTACATCACAAACAATCTCAATTACTCCGTTAACCATCTGTAGAAAAGGTTTAAAGTGACTTCTTCTAATAAGGCTTTGTGAAGATGTGTTATATAATTTGGCAAGCGGTGTGGTATTCTCAGATATCGGTGTAATGAGGACTACTGAAATGGCGTACGCATCGGTAGATCCTGTTTGTGGTCTTCAATTTCAACTGTGTGTCATCGGTTTAACGAGCACGGAAAATACGTGTAGAGCTGTACCTCGTTACTGCACACTGTGTGCTGGAGAAAAATGCGAAATACGAATCGAGAGGTTTTGCTGTGTTCGGGGAAGAGAAGTTCTTACAGCTCACTGCTTTGTAATTGGGTTTAGGTATATCTGTACGTTCTTAAACATTAATATAAGGATCTTGTTAAAATAAAATCAACAAATAGACCGGTACAGGCTGGAGAGTTGGGCAGAGAGGAACCTGATGAGGTTCAACAAGGGCGAGGGCAGGGTCCTGCACCTGGGGAGGAACAACCCCAGGCACCAGTACAGGCTGGGGCGGACCTGCTGGAGAGCAGCTCTGCGGAGAGGGACCTGGGTG